AATTTAGTAGCATTCATACAAGAAAGCGGTAAAGAGTGGGAAAAGCCTCTGTGCAACTTGTTCACACTACTTGTAAAATATAAAAAATATACACTCTCGTGCGTAACCAGCACTGCTATCCAACAATACATTAATAAACGCTTTTATGCTGACTGGTTTGAAACTTAAGTTGTCATTCTGGCTGAGAAACTATTTTAGTTACAAACCAAAAAAAGTGGAGTTTCAAAGTTTTTTAAATCATATTTTTTAGCTTTCACCGTTTTAGTTATAAGTGTGTATTACCTTGCTTCTAAGTCCAGGATCGAATACTTTAGGTTCCAGCAAAACTTCTTCAAAAACTTTGAAGTTGATTTGAGAAGGGTGAGTCACTGCCATATAGTCATTCTAAATATTAAACTAGATTAGTTACATTTGTCAAAAAAAAAGTGAAATAACTGGCTTATAACCTTAAAAAGCGCAAATGAACTTAAAAACATGAAAGCTCCAGCATGTGGGTCTTTATTCACAGTTTCATCAAGAACTGATAGTAGCGTTTGGTTATTAAACGTAACGAAATTCTCGTCAAGGTCTACCAAAGCCAAATATCTGCTTTCTCCTCTTGCGCGAAACAAGCAGTCATTCCATGCAAGAACTTGCTGTAAAAGATAAAGTAAAACTAAACAAAAATTAGAATTTATATTTAGACAAATGATAGAGAAGTGAATTTTCATTGCATTGTACAACCAACTTCAGGTGCCACTGTAAAGTTACTGGGATCGTAAAATTTTGACACTTCTTCTGGCACTGATATCGCATCCCACGGTATACGATTTACTTCTATGGTGGGATCATTTTCATAGATTCTTAATAATGCCTCAAATTCTCTTGACATACTTTGGTGGTAAATATAAAATTTTGTCGCACCGTGCTCGATCCAGCTCTGTAGCATGTAATAGCAGTTATACAAGAAACCCTTTAATGGAAACAAGATATTGCAGACTGACTTCAAAGAATTTTGGCAGAAGGGTCCAGTCAGCGATCATAAAAAGTGGATTTATGCAGACACTTAAGCGATGTTTAATTCGCTCAACTGGCTTTACTCTTGAATCGAGCAGCCTTAAAACCTTTTTAAGACCCGGCTTGTCCTCACGAATAACATATAATTTGTCTTCACCATTTATTACATTTATTGCAGAAGGGAGCTTAAAGCCGCCTGCAATTCCATATTTTCCCGAGTATGTGCAACTAAACAAAACTGGCTTGAGACTGAATTCTTTTTCCTCTTAAGATCAGAACAAAATAAAATGCTTGTCAACTTTTGTACAACAAAATTTTTCAATAAATCTCTAAATTTTTTTCTGTAATTAAGCAATTTCAAAATTTTAAAATATTAGAAAAATTAAATTGTTGTTTGGCCTACGTCAGAACGTTAATTTGTTGCTGTAATTAAGTGAACAGAAAATCTAAAAGACGTAGAATAAGTAAAATTTATTCACTTCAAGTATTTGTATAGGCATGGAACGTGCAGTAAGTACAAATGTAAACGAATCATTTCGCCATTTCCAAACTGTAAACGCACTTTCGGGAAATTATTGCAGGTTGTCAATAGATAAACTTTTATTTTATCATTATCAATCAAATAGGCATCCGAAAAATAAAGCTGAAATTTGGTTTTTATTCAACCCACAGTTATCCTTTAATAGGTTGATGATAGATCAATACAGTAGTGAAATTTAAAATTTTAATTTTTTGACCTGATTGGCCATAGTTATCGTTGCAGCAGTCTTTTCACGTTACCTTGGCAAAATTTTGTAATTTTATGCTCAACTTTAGTCTTCTCTAGTTATTCTCAAATGTATCTTGTATTCAATTTCTTATGACACTTTTTCCTATGGCTAAATCTACAGGTGTTAAAAAAAGTCTTGGCTTTCTTTTTTTCTCGGTTATTTTTATTGCATTCAAGAGGAAAAGTGTTTTAAGAGATTATTGTCTATAAGTGGAACGTTTACTGCCATAATATATAATAACTTTTTTTTTCTAGAAGCAGCTACAATAAGCATTAGACAATTTACTGTAAGTTTGTGAATATTTGTACTGATAAAATTCTTTAGTTTCTTCTTTTCCTGGGTGAATAAAGTTAATTTCTATTGTCTGTGTAAAATGATTAATAGAAATTAACATTGGTTTATTAGAATAAAAATAATCTGTTTTATTTGATGCAAAAATTATTTTTTTTTCTTTCCAAATTAAAAATAAAGTTAGCATTGTTTTTACCATTTCCTCAAACTCTGTTACCCAGTCTTGTTTTTTTGGACGGTAAAAACTGTAGCGCAACAGTAATAGACTGAAAAAAAGCAACATGGGGATAAGTGAAACCTTTTTCAAACAAACTCTCCTATTTAATTGTCTCATATTAATCTGAAAAAGAAATAAATAAATTAAAAAGTAAAAAATAAAAAACAAAAAAAAAAAAAAGAAACAAAGCATTTAAAATACGGGAAACTAAAGCAAAATACGATACGCTTTAAGATAGGATTAGCAGCAATAAAAAACAGAGTGCATAAAGAATTGAAAAATTGGCAATGCAAAATGGAAAGTGAATACTGTCAATGCAATAAAAAAAATTCTATTATTTTACCATACAATTATTATTACTGTATTTTGTAAATTGTGGCAATTATAAGGAACAATCTCTCTTAACAGCTTTTCGCTTTAGTTGTATAGTTTTAACTTTTTTTTTTTTTTTTTGCTGTTGATCCTGTGCTTAGTGACAACTTTTTTTTTTTTTAATCAGATTCAGCAATTAAAATTTTTAA